ATTAAATTTATTTAGTATTAAATTTTATTATTAAATGTAGCGTTTTCTTTGAGGAAGTTATGACGTGGAGATGCCTGAAGGGTTTGCTGAAAAGAGAATACAGTCTTTAGGAATATTAATTATTAGGGATTATCTACGGCTCTCTGTTATTTGGCGGTTTCTGCCTTCCTGTGTACCAATGAATAAAAGTCTTCAAGGAGATTTCCTACATGTCTGGTAGACCTCTGACAAATCAGCTATTTACGGAAACCTCTTGTAAAAAATGTACCTTACTATAGATGTTTAGCAACTCTGGAAAATTAACCTTATGATAAATAAATGAGCTATTTTTATGAACTTATTTGTTTCTAGAATTTTTATAATGCAAAAGCAACAGAGTTTATGTGAGCTTGGAAGACCATTGTAATGGATTCCTTGCTTCTGACCCTATCAGAGGACAGAGTATTGGCTGTTCTGAAAATAAGAATCACAAAGACATAGCTAACCAGGAGCTTATCACACTCCAGCTGTCTGGGACATGGGGAACCTTGAGAGAAGGCGATGTGAGCTGGATCTGGTTAGTTTCAGCTGACTGTCTGGGTGCAGGGTAATTCATTGACAGGGGGGATGCTAAATAGGCACCACTAATCTGTCCAGCTGGGGAGTTTGTTGGACTTAAGTGACAGAAGAGGATAGCACGTGCTCTAGCAGATCTTCTTATCAGGAATAATGGAATAAGAACTTCTGCAAGTGTTTGGTTTTTCCGTAGAAGTCAGCCATCTGGTGTCTTACAAAACAGCACAGTCCCTTTTCCATCACGTGGTCGCTGTCATGTCTCTAAGTTCAATTTGAGCAAGAAAAAAAATGAGCTGAGTATTTTCTTGTTGTCTGATTTCCATCCGCATGTTGTTCTGTGTTTCTGTGTTTTCTATGGGCTCAGCTCTCCAGCTCTGCTCCTGTTGGTGTCATTTTTGCCTGTCTCTGCAAACCAATTCCTTACCTGTCCCTTCTTTAGTTCTGCTCTTCTGCATAGGTGCTGCTCCTGTACTTGTGACAGTCTGCAGGCGTCACTCTTTATCACAGGGAAGTTGGTATTCAGCATATAACCATGGGAGTGTCAAAATAAACCATTTATTTCAGTTAATGTTTACAGAAACTAGCTCATGACTTGAGCAAATTTAAAACCATCAAGAAATACCTTTTTTGAAGGTGTTGTTACTACAGAAGGTAATAAAAACCTGAAATGGAGACATAATTTTAAATAAAAATGCAGTTAATTTAACGTTGGGTTTGTCTGTGTGTTTTTTTAGGATACAACACCCGTATTTGAAGAGGAGTCAAAACCTATTTATTGTCAAAACTGTCAAAGCATTTCTTTCTGCTCCTTCACCCAGCGGTCGCTGCTGGTGGTGTGTTCCAAGTACTGGCGGGTAAGGACGGTGAGCGGAACAGCACCTGCCCGCTGTGCACGCTGATTTAATTACACTGCCAGTAAGACGTTTAGATCGAGATGCTCTAAGTCCTTCTAATGTGGCTATATTGAAACTGAAATTAGCTGCTGTCTGGGCATTTTAATCTGTAATTGGCTAATGACAATAGGCTTTTCTGTTTCTTGTCAGGTGTTTGATGCTGGAGATTATTCCCTCTTGTGTTCAGTCCCTAGTGAAAACGATCAGACCTGGACTGGGGGCGACTTTGTGTCAGCGGATAAAGTGATTGTGTGGACAGAAGATGGACAGAGTTTCATCTACAAATTACCAGCCAGGTAGTCAAGAATGACATACTCCATTAATTTATTTTTGTGAGATAAAAACATGAGCAACTTGGAGGAAATATTGAGTATCTTTGCCTTTTATTTTGTTACGAAATAGTATGGATGTTGCAGAATCTAGTATTCTATGAGCACATTTTAAAGTGTGTGTCCCCTAAATGTGTCACATAGAAACAATGTTCAGTAATTTGGATTGCCTCAACCAAGACTGCGTCATTATTTTCCGATATTACACTAACTGTTCTTTGCTTCCCAATGGAGATGTGTAATGGGAGGAGGTACATTTTGCTGTTGAACAAGTTTAATAAATTAAAATAAAATATAATTTAAATATTTGCTTAACCAGGTCCAAATAAGGAAGAAATAAGATATTGCTGTACAGAGTAGAAGGTAAATGATGGCTGTATTATTGTAACAGAGCATAACTCAGCCCATTAAGGGAAGGCACAAACAGCTGACTGTGCATAAATGTGAAAATGTAGAATTAAAGTGAAATTAGGTATCAAAGAGGTTAACTGTAGAATGACAAAAGTAAAATAAAATTTTTCTAGTTTTCTTCTGATATCTTCATGACATGCAAACATCTCTTTTCTGAGTAGAGATACAGTTTTATCTTGGAGGTTCTTGAATGTTCTCACGTAAATCAGGCGAGGACTCCTTTCTCACCCTCTTATGTGATCAGGTGTGGGCAGGTCTGTCTGGTGATCTGTCAGAGGAATCCTTGGGTTTGGTGTGTTTTCATCCTGACTCTGAGGCCAGGTGTGTTGAAGTCCAAAGCAGACCTGAAGCCAGGCTTCCTTCATTATTTTTTCTTTCGGTTCTGAATGTGTGGGGGAACTGAGCTGGACACATTTGGAGCAGCTGTAAATTGACAAGGCATACCCTGTACATTGAAATTAGAGTAATAATCTGCTATGCACTGTATTAACAATTGAAAAACATACTGTTCAGGGGCTTGGGGGTTGGTTTTGCTTAGTATTACTTATCTAACTAGTGATGTAGTGATCACTCTCTAGTAATATTGGGAATTTTATTCCTTTCTCTTTGTTCTTCAATCCAGCTGTCTGCCAGCTAGTGATTCATTTCGCAGAGATGTGGGGAAAGCAGTAGAAAATTTAATCCCGCCTTTATTGTACAGTGTGTTGGACAGAGCAGATAAACAGGTAAGATGTATTTCTTTGGGGTTTCTTTTATGGACTGCATTTCTCCTCTAGAGCAGTTTTTCTCTTTCAAAGTAGACCTTTACGATTTCCTCTTTGCCTAGGGAAAGCAGACAGCCATTTCCCAGCTGTTTGGTTTGCTTATTCTTGGCTTTCAAATAAATGCAGAGGTTATTCCTACACACCAACAGTTTATCATTCATCAGCACCTGGAGAATCAGGAGTCAAGTTGTGATGCGCATGATGATTAGGCAATAATAGAATTTTAGAATCACAGCTGTGCATTTGAAAGCTTAAATCCTTGCAAAGTAAAGAAAATCCAGTTTCATAGGCCAAAGTCCTCTTTGAGCTATACTTCATTTTTCTGCCACGCTGTGAACTCTGTCTGCTATGAGCTAGGATATCTGAGGCTGCCGCACGATGTGTCTGGTACTGTACTAGACCTATCCTACTAGGTATAAATAACTGCCTGATTTACAAATGCTGCTGCTGCAAGACTACTATAGGGATCCTTTTTTATCTTAACAAATTTGCCAAATTTGTACACTGAAACTTTTTTTTTCCCTTTATATTGTCAATGATTATTAAAAGAACTTTACTTCTGCTGTGGACCATGTTCCTTACTGAGCAGTGGGTCTTCAGCTCACCGTTGGAGTTAGAACCTTAACAATTTTAGAATACACACATACATATATGTATATAATATTCTAAATATTAATATATTTACAGCAAAACCAAGCATGTGTAAAAATATTTTTTCCTGTCCCCTACACCTGTGACTTCTTTTGTAACCAACCACACTTTCTTCTGATTCAGGTTGCTGTATTTATTCTTTTTCCTGTAAGAATGATAAAGCACAAACTAGCTAGTTTTTGTCCCGCTTTTAAAAGGTACAGTGGATTATGTGGGGAAAGTGGATTTTGAGGTTAGTACATGGCTTGCATGTGTTCTGAAGCTGTTAATTTTTTTTTTTTTAACAGCTGCTAATATGTCCTCCAGTTACTCGGTTCTTCTGTGGACACAGGAAGTTTTCCTATAAGCTGTTAATCCAAGGAGACTCCTCAGGGAGACTGTGTATCTGGAGTGTGCCTGATACTCTTGAACAGCAAGACAGTGCAAAAGGTATATTTATTAACAGTCTTGTTGCCAAGTCTGTTAATGGGCATCTCTGTTTTTTTGTGTGTTTTGTTGCTGGATAAAGCACTGCTGTGTTTCCTACAAATCCATGAAGCCGATTTCTTTTAGTTGTTACCTTCTTGTAAGAGTTGTAGTAACTTAGTTTTTTCATCTGTGATCAAAATCTTCATTTACTATGAATATTTTTCAGGTATTAACTTTCCTCTTGTAGCTTAAATCATAAACTTTTCCAGTTCTCTCATGTTATTTCTGTGTTACACGGTCAGTAAATTATCTCCAGTGTGTACCTTTCACTTTGTTCAAAGTGGTGTAACATGGTGTATTTAAACTTTGAGATCTTCTCAGGAAAGCATTCCTAATTTCTGTTCTTGATTTTTTTTTTTTTTTTAAATATCATCCTCACCCTGCTCTTTTTTTTTTTCTTTTCTTTTTCTTCTTTTCCTTTTCAAACAGGACTGCAAACGACAACTTCAGTGTCCCTCCAGGAAGCTTTTGATAAACTCACTCCTCGCCCTGCTGGGATTATAGACCAACTAAGCTTGATACCAAACATCAACGAACCACTGAAAGTCACAGCCAGCGTGTACATCCCAGCACACGGACGTTTGGTCTGTGGCCGTGAAGACGGGAGCATTGTTATAGTTCCAGCGACACAAACGGCCATAGTTCAGCTGCTGCAAGGAGAGCACATGCTCAGGAGAGGTACGGATGTCGGCCTTGGAAAGCACGGCTGGGCTACAGCGTGCGCCTGTTGCGAGATACGCTGAAGGACAAAATAGTTTCACAAAGTCAGCATTAAGTCATTTTACAGGTGGAAATCATGTCACTGTTTTTCTCAACATGTGTGCTGTTAGGTAATGAGAAGCCCAAGTGATAAAATTTGGTGGGGCCAGCTTGCATCCATTTGGAGGGGAAATTGGGGGTCCCTTCGCTGGAAAGCCTCAGATATTTCTCCTGGGTTTCTGAGATGCAGTAGCAAAGATGTGGCGGGGGACATCTCTCTTCCAGAAAGGTTCTGGGCGCTGCCTTCAGCTGGGACATCAGTGTGGCTGTGAAGATCTTCTTGGAAAAATAACTCATCTACAAGAGAATTTTTGCGTGTCGTGTAGCTGGTTGAGTGTTGTGTGTTGGCCTGCTGCTGTGTATTTTGGTTACAGATAATGTTATTCTAATATTTTTGTTGTCGTAGTTGCAGAACAAATGTTTAGGTTTGGATTTTTACAAATGCTGATAAATGAAAGAGATGTAAATATCTTTCTGTAAATATGGGTATGAGTTTGTCGGTTATACACAAGGCTGCTTCCTTTATATGACTGATTTATTTTATGTAACTTTATACAAAAATAACCTGTTTCTTAGTGTGAAGTTAGATTGCCCCAAAGTTGATAAATTATTCCCTAAAAATGGATTGGTGGTTTGTACCCTCATAAAAACACAGAAGTGCCTGTGTGTATGCTATGTAAGGTTTGCTGTGCTTGCTAGAAAGTGTAATTGCATCAAGGAAAAAAGTTCAATTATATCATGCAGCTATTGCATAGAATACTTTCCAGTAAAGAAAAATTATGAACATTAAAAAAAAAAAAGAGTTAATTCTATAAGAACTTGTGTCAAAAATTGCAGTATGTCTGTATTTTTTTTTTTTATCAAGAACAGTGTTTTGGATTGTTAACTGTTCTGTTGAATTATATTTTTCTCTCTCTCTCTTTTTTTTTCTTTTCCCCCTTTTGCCCCTTACCCAATTTCTCAGGTTGGCCACCTCACCGGACTCTCCGAGGTCACAGAAACAAAATTACATGTTTACTGTATCCTCATCAGGTTTCTTCCCGTTATGATCAAAGGTATTTGATCTCAGGTGGTGTGGATTTCTCAGTCATCATATGGGATATATTTTCTGGAGAGATGAAACATATCTTCTGTGTACATGGTGGAGAAATTACACAGCTTCTAGTTCCACCAGAGAACTGTAGTGTAAGTTTTCCATCGTATGTCTGATAACCTGTCTCGCACTTTCCATAGGTGGTACAGCTCCTCAAATCCTCCCTGAGAATGTGAAGGTGTTTAGCTATGTAAAGGATTAAAAATATCATTTTACGATATACAGCATTACCACTGGGAGAGGATTTCCATGATGTGGAAGCAGTCTGTCCTCTGGAGGTGTTTGGGAACTGATAGGCAAGCATTCCCCACCAGCGAGCCCATAGATTTTTTAAAGCAATTTCGTCTTTTGTAACTTGGATGAGTAGGTAGAATGCAATGGACAAAATTACACTGATTTACTTGAAAGCCATGGTTTCCCTTGTTTGCTCAACAAAACAGGCTCCAATACGCATTTGCTCCTTGTGATGTGCAAGAGATTGCATTCAGGAGAATTTTTGCAGGTGAAATGCTGTTTCTAGGGACCTCAGTGAGTTTAGCCATAGACTTATGTGACTGGTTTTGTTTATAAAATAGGCTGTTGGGATTATTAAATGCAAACTGTCTGCATTATGATTAAGATTTCTTTTTTTTAATTTTTCTTAGGCAAGAGTCCAGCACTGTATTTGCTCTGTTGCCAGTGATCACTCAGTAGGTCTTCTGAGTCTGCGGGAGAAAAAATGCATCATGCTGGCATCCCGTCACCTTTTCCCTATCCAAGTAATAAAATGGAGGCCTTCCGATGACTATCTGGTGGTAGGATGCTCAGATGGGTCTGTGTACGTCTGGCAGATGGATACTGGTAAGGTTAAGTTTAAAAGTGTTGGTTAAACAATTTGTTTTAGTATTTGGCTGTAGTTCGGCATAAGTTGCATCTGAGAGAAGAGTTAAAATTTTTCTGCGCGTTTATATTTGGAAATTTAGTGCGCCACATATTCCCAAAATTTGTAGATTACGTAAGCTTTTGTTAAATACATATGTTAGTATTTGGAATAACTCCTTTAATTTTGGAGAAGCACAGCTTGCTGTGGCTATCCTTCCCCTGCACCTTTTCGCAGTAGTATCTGGAGACACCAGTTCAAATGCTGGCTGCACATGCAGCATCCTCTGAGATTATTAGTGCCCATGCTTCCTCAGCAACTTTCTTGAAAGCTTGGTGTAGAAGCTCAGCACCCTGAATACCTACAGTGGTTTCCTCATCTGCAGAATGAAGGAAGTGTTTGGTTTGTTGTATTGTTCATTTTGTTGTTGGGTGCGTTTTGTTAAAAAGGGACTAATGCTTAATTTAGAAGAAACTAAAAAGGAGCCTTAACTGTATGGGCAACAAGGCATCAGATAGCTTTGTTGTAGAAAATCTTGTGGTATTTGAAAGGGAGAAAGAGAGGAAAAAATGATCAAAATATATGCAGTAATATGTAATATTATGTAATAACCTTTTAACTCTTTAACTCCCTTGAGAAAAAACCCACAAACCTGCAATGCTGCCTGGAAGTTATTTTCAGTTTATTGTGAAAACTAGATGAGAACTGTCTTTTTTATTGAAGCTCTAGGAAGCAAAGAGGAACCTGAGATCCATCATGGAAAATTTAATCCATACGGGTAGCTGGGTGGGAGAGGGAATTCCAAATGATGGAAAACAGCCTTCCTCTAAAAATGTTGGGCAACTGCAGTCCTCCCTCCCTGGTCGGTACAGAATCACGCTGCGGGTTTTTTCGACTTCTCTTGATTTTTGTTAATGTGATTTTTCCTTACACACTTCAGCTTCAAGGAAACTTGGGAAAATTCCGTCCCTTTAGGAATTTTAGTTCTAAAAATAGCCGTTAACACAACGGAAACTTTTATGCATCCTCATTTTCGCCCATTGTTGTATTTTTGATATTTGGACCTTCCAGATTGTTTCTGCTTAAACTCATGCTTTTCAAAACGTTTGCAGGCGCACTGGACAGGTGCGTGATGGGGATAACAGCAGTGGAAATCCTGAACGCCTGTGACGAGGCCATCCCCGCGGCCGTGGACTCCCTGAGCCATCCTGCTGTCAACCTGAAGCAAGCCATGACACGGCGCAGCCTGGCAGCTCTGAAAAACGTGGCACATCAGAAACTGCAGACTCTGGCCACTAACCTGCTCGCCTCCGAAGCGTCTGACAAGGTAACTCCTGTTTCAGTTTGTCTGTCTTTAATACAGGACCCGAAACATTTATTTCCATAAATAATTGAATAAAACATAGGAAGTCTCTTCGCCGTTGTAACGGAAAGGATCATATCCAAAGCTCTCTGAAATTTTAATAGAAAGACCTGAACTAGCTTGGGACAGTCCTGGGAGTTCACTTTCCTTGAACAGAAAGTATCAGCCTTCTTCAGCATTGTTGTGTAGTTTCCAGCGATGATGGTGTTGCCTAGAGTTACATTTTAATAACGTTTCACTTATGATTTTTCTATGTTGTGCTTTCCTTGGTAGTGCCTTCACTGTCCGTACCTCTGTACGGCTTTTGCTGTTTGTGTCGGTTCAGTGAGAACAGAGGCTATGCACCACATACATTCCTCTCTTTCTAGGTAGGCGGTAGTATATTTTTAATATCACCCAACACAATCCCTTCCACGTCTCTCTGGACATTGCTCCCCAATTTATGTTACTGTTTGTGATGCTTTATGTTACTTTGACGGGAGCGGTGCTGTGATCGTGTCCTGCTTACATTTGCTCTTATTGGTGATTCTGATCTGCTACCACTCCTCAAAGCTTTTTTCCTGATAAAGACCTGTCAGAGTAGGCAGATAGTGTATTTTTTCAGTGTATCGATGCCATTTGAAGATGTTCCCCCAGCCCAAACAAGAAGAGCTTGTATTCCAGGCTGGTTTTCCTTTCCATTGAGGCTGTGCCCAGCAGAGCGCAGCAGAGCTCCGTGCCGGCAGCGCTGCCCTGGCTCCGTCGCTGGGGGTTTGGGGTGGTTTGCCTCCTTCTGTTATATTCTCGTTGGAAAAGAGGTGTCACAGAGAGAGAGGGCATTCCTTAGAACACCACCGTCGTGTTTCTGCAAATGTCTGCGTGCTCAGGCTTGTGCTGCTGCTCCTACTGCACCCGGTGTGATGTTCATGTCTGTAAGTACTCGTGTTGCGTCTGCACGTGCTGTGCGGATGGACGCGTTTGATGTGCAGGCTCCTCGTGTCGAATGAAGGTAGTGCTACCTGTATAGCACAGCTAAATGGGTTCTGTATCGGAGGGCGGTGGTGATTAATAGCTGAAATATTTTGGTTATATTGTTGCTTTTAACTTTACCATTGTGACCGTTACCAGAGACCATTCCATTAAAAGTTATCTGCATTACATTCTGAGAAAATAACTAGATTTTTTTTTTAATAAATAAGGAACATGTCAATGAATCAGTGTATTGCAGAACAGAATTTGCAGCTGCTGTTTTATCGACATTTAATTATTTCTCTTCTGGTTTCCATTATGCATGATTTGCTTCTCGTGGCAATTTTATTTAATAAGCATAGTTTGTTCATTATGTGAGTTGACCACAGGAACAGCAGGAGTGGGGTTGGGCTGTTTGCTCCAGCGCTGGTTGCGTTGCGCCCTGGCTGTTTGGCACAGTGAGCCAGCCTGTACTGCAGCTCCTCTGAGAAACATAAGAACAGGGAGCAAGGAGGATGGTCTCTGATGTTTCTTTCGTAATCCCTGCAACCAAATGTCAGCTTTCCTTGTGGTGGTGCCTTAACTTTGTTACGCAAGTGGAATGAATGGTAATTTGAGGAAAGATGGAAATTACAAATTCTTTTATTCTAGTGGAGCAGCAGATGGTGTTGAAGGTTTTGCCAGGTGTGCGTTTATTTAATTGTTGGAGTCTTTTGATGTGTGTCGGATATTGCTCTGTGTGTGAGTGTGCCTTTGGTATCTGCTTGGTTTGTTTGTCACAAAGGGAGTGCATTGGAATAATGTAAAATATTGATGTATGCTTGTTGTGAATCACCCTCTGAAAGTGAGCGAGAACTAGTGAGTGCAGCAAGCAAACCCCAATAATTGCACTGGCTTTTCTCCACTTCAGCAGGGCACAGCAGAAGATTTGTGAGTATTCCTTCAAGTAAGCAAAATATTATCAGCCTTGAACTGAGGGTCTGCAAATGAAATAAAATATTAGTGTGGCAGAGAAATGGAGATCACAATATCAAGTAAGACTGACATAGTGCATTGCTTTATATAAGTGCATTTTCTGCACGTGCTGTGTAGGCAGGATTAAAGGAGCAGTTTCTTGCTCCGTTTTTTTTCCCTCTTCTGAAACAGCCAAGGGGAGAGGCTGTTCTTGAGCTTCTGCAAAGCAGCACTCAGAAATGGATTGTGAGGAAGCTGTGGCTGGGTCATCGGCTGCTCTGGACGGCAGGTCAGGGAACCTCAGCCTCTTTTGGACAGAGCGGCTTCCAAATAAAATAAATTAAATAAAAAAAAGTATGTTCCAAAATAAATAAAACAAAGCTTGCGTAAAACTTTGGAGAGGTCAGTTTTTGCTCTGAAGGTTTTCCTGTAAAAAGCAATCTTGCGCTCTTTGGGGATACACGGTAAGTGACAGCCAGAAAAAGCCGAGTGCTTTATGAGAGACTGATGGGTGTGAATGAGAACCCTGAGAATTGCGATAGTGTGCTGATCTCAGAACCAAGCTCACACACTTGGAGCAATAATTGAACGTGATGTGGTGGTTAGTGTGTTCTTTCGTGCCAACAGCATGTGAGGGGCTTTACAGCTATAATGGAAATGGAATATATAAAAATTACTTCAGTTTTCAAACACGTGCTGTGAAATCTGGGCAAAACTTAAAGCAGCCAAGAAGTTGTGGGACTAGAAATTGTAGAATCATAGAATGGTTCGGGTTGGAAGGGACCCTAAAGATCGTCTAGTTCCCACCCCACTGCCAGTTTGAGGAAACAAAGGACTTGAGCATAATTTTGTGTTGGTTATGGAGATAATACAGTTCTCACAATACTTAAGCTTATGTTAATGTTCTTTTATCCAATCTCCTTTTCTGATTTTTTTTTCACCTTTTATTCCAGAGCATTTTAATTTTCCTTTTCCTTTTTTTTTTTTTTTCTTATTCCCCTTGGAAGAAAGGGAAGGAGGAATAAGATGGGCTTAAGCAGTGGAGTGAACAAGTGACACGCTAATTGCGAATCTGGACAAATTTATTAGTAGCTTATTTTCCAGTGTCAAAAATTGATTGTGACTATCCAAATATTAAATATTTAATGCATTTTAAATAACAAAGTACTGAAATGTTATTGTTCCTTGGAGTATAGCTACTATCTTTCAGAATTAATGAGAAAGAAATGTGAACTTCGGTCTCTTCTAGAGAGCTCGATTTATCTGGTGAAATGTCTGTATGTCAGGGGTGTAACCCTTGGTGACATGTCTGACATTCCTGCCATTGTGAAACTGCTGTACAATTCCTCACTGATATTTTCATAATATTCCTTTATTATAACGTGTTTTATATCCAAGTGAGTTTTCAAACTTTGATCATCTGCAGCTTCATTAATTTGTGAACTAACTTTGTGAAAACTGTTAAGTAATCCAATCAAAATTTCGATTCTTTTTCTTTTATTTTTTTCAGGGGAATTTACCCAAATATTCACATAACTCCCTGATGGTTCAAGCCATAAAGACCAACTTAACAGATCCAGATATCCATGTGCTTTTCTTTGACGTAGAAGCGCTGATTATTCAGCTGCTGACGGAGGAGGCCTCCAGACCCAACACCGCGCTCATTTCTCCGGAGAATTTGCAGAAAGCCTCTGGCGGGTCTGACAAAGGAGGCTCTTTTTTGACTGGTAAACGAGCAGCTGTCCTCTTCCAGCAGGTCAAGGAAACCATCAAAGAGAATATAAAAGAGCATCTTCTCAATGATGATGATGAAGATGAAGAGTCGATGAGACAGAGAAGAGAAGACGGTGACCCGGAATATCGCTCTAGCAAATCTAAACCATTAACTTTATTAGAATATAATCTAACCATGGACACAGCAAAGCTTTTTATGTCCTGTCTTCACGCTTGGGGCCTGAATTCTGTTCTAGATGAGCTCTGCCTTGACCGTCTTGGGATGCTGAAGCCCCACTGTTCCGTGTCCTTTGGCCTCCTGTCCAGAGGAGGCCACATGTCCCTGATGCTTCCTGGCTATAACCAGCCCGTGGGCAAACCCTCGTACGATGGCGTGGAGCTAGGCAGGAAGATGTCCATCACAGAGGGACTGGGAAAGGGGACGTACGGTGTGTCGCGTGCTGTCACCACGCAGCATCTCCTGTCCGTCATCTCGCTGGCCAACACGCTGATGAGTATGACCAACGCAACTTTTATCGGAGACCACATGAAGAAAGGTCCAACCAGGTACGCCAGAAATTCACTTGAACTCGCAAAAACTTTCTGTCTGTCTCTGTTTTAATGCAGCATTTTATTTTCTTTGATTTCCCTGTGGGGTTTGATGTACTAAATGGCTATGGAAGCCTTTGGTACTCGATGGAGCTGAGTGTATTTCTTCTTTCTTGGGTGTTAGTATTTTTTTTATGCCCAGGTAACTCTATTGCTTCTAGTGGAGCTACAGAACTTACAACATTAATATAACTCCACATTCTATTAACATCTGTGCTGGTAGGTCTGAGAGGCCGTTTTTGCCCTCCTTCTTAGTGCTTATTGTTCTTAAAGAATTTTTATAAAGAGTAAGTCAAATTCTGAATAAACGAAAACACACAGATGAGCTTTTTATCGCTGAAAAATAAGCTCACCTAGGAATTGTAAATGAGATAAAAAACAGTTCAACAGAAAAAATATATAGGGTTCCTTTTCAAAGTTTGTTCAGTCACAGTGTCTTTAGCAAATAATCTTGTTTGTTCTCCTCCCCCTTCATGTCCATTTTGTGTTCAGGCCACCTAGGCCAGGCACTCCTGAAATGTCGAAAGCGAAGGCACCCCCTGCGGTTTCAAGTCATGCAGCCCAAGGACAAATCAAGCAAGGTAAAAACCACTTGCTTTGGAGCATTTTGATGTGTCATTTCAGCTCTTGACACTGAAGTTATCACCTTACTATCAAGTGTTTAAAAATATTGCTGGCTTCTGCATGGGAGGAAAAAATAGTGTACTATTCTAGATAAAAATTGTAATGACTGAGACTTTCTTAAGAATCAATATGAGGTGCTGACACTGTCATGAAGTCATTCCCTGGCCGTGAATTGTTGCGTATTTTAAATGCCCCCAAACATTCTGGTGTGGAGGTGACAGTAAGAGGTAAGGGCGGATGAGCTACTCCTCTTAATGCCCAAAATAAAGTAAATGTGGCCAATGCTGGCTTGAGCTCAAAACCAAGGAGCACAGGAACTGTTGGGAAGAGGATGGGAGCACTCCTAGGAACTCTCCATGCACAAAAGGGGCAAGTTTATGTCTGGGGAGGAAACTTGCCTATCAGCAACATTTGTGGGTATTTATTCTTTTCCTAAATATAAATATTAACTTATTGCGATCTTTGGAAATGGAAAATCAGTTTTAGAAGTGGTTCGTGTCAAGCTTTTTTCATGATCAATGGTGCTACATAAATAGAGAAGCAGCAGTCAATAACAGCAAGCAGAAATTAAAAAAAATCGGGTCTCTTGTCTCAACATGTGGGGCTTTTTTATTTTGTTTTGTTTTGGTTTACAGCCCTTTACTTTTTCTCTTTGAAAGGTAATTATTTGAAAGGTCAGGATTTCTCAGCGATGGTGTCTATATGGCAAATTCAATGCAAGAAATAACATTCCTCACAGAAAGGGGCTGTGTCCGTATTTTGATTTTAAAGCTATGGCTCCCTTGTGGTTTTTCCTTCCCAAATGGCAGCTATGTAATTTTTCTTCGAAATAGCTTCGCTAATTTTGGTGATAGACATACTTTAGTTACCCAGTGGAGATATTTTGTAACACAGTTGATAAAAATGAAATTCTGTGTGTTGTCAAAAATATAGAAAAATACCCCTGTTCCTAAATTCTCGTCTTTTTCTGTGTCCTTTGGCACGTCCTGCATGCTCTTAGGGAGGATGGGTTTGTTTTTAAGCAGTACTCTTGGGTCAGAAGTTTCCTCGGTGTCTTACCTGTGCATCCCGTTGCGCACTGCTTGCGGTGTCTTGGTACTTATACATTTCTAGTGCTTTTATTCTTAAAAATCAATTAGAGATACAATTAATGCATTGTGTGCCATGCTTGATCTCCATCAGTGTGACCTGTATTTGTCCTGAGATGATGTGCTGCTGGGCCAGCTGCTGCCGTTAGCGGTCGGTGTAATTACTGACATTGAATGAGAACAACAAAATGAGGCAAAAAATAAACTTCAGACTTTAGTTTCAGTATGGAGAGGTCTTGTGTCTTTACAAACAATCTTTGCCATAAAATAAATAGCTTTTTTAATACACCTACTGAAGCTCGGCGTTGCTTGCACAACGTGATTTACGCCGGTCGTGCTGCCGCTGTACGCGTGCCACCGTGATGCATCCGCCTGGAAAATACGGGAAAAGGAGTTTTGATGCAGATGTCCCACAGTGACAAAAGTTCACGGCATGAAAAGTAAATAGACCATTCCGAAGACAATGCTTCATCGGTTCAGGAGCCTGAACCCATTGTTGTTCTGCAACGGAATAAAAGCGGGAGATGAATTTGCAGATGCTTGTGCATGACATATGGTAATTTCTCTATAGGAAGGAAGTGTCAGAGGGTGACCCCTAAAGCTCCACATTGACCTTAGGTTGTAGCATGTGTATGCCATAAGGTCTGCGCGGCTTTTCATGTGATAATATTAAGTCATGAAGCATTAGTGGAACTATAACATTTAGAACTGCTTTTAAATTGCATTTTCACCAAGAAATGACACCGTTTGCAAAGTAAATGTCACGTAACACGCTTGAGCTGTGCTCTTCTGTGTTCCTGTGGTCCTGCCCTGTGCGCTTTCTGTGCTGCTGCTCTAGGCTCTTACTCCTTTCCTTGGTACAGGTTTAAAATTATTTGCATGGGAACACATTTGAAACGAACCTGTATTAAAACTAACCATCAGTAGTACGTCCTGTGATATCTTAGCGGCGGATGGGGCAGCGCAGGTGGGAAAGGGGCTATTTCTGGGGCTTTTAATGAGTTGTTCCAAATCTATCTAAATTTGGGAAAAGCACAAGAAGAAGAAGCAAAACTCCTGGTTTTAAAATTCATAGTCAAACGAAATTCAGGTACCTAAAGACATGTTTGTAATGGCTTTATTTATTGATACTCTCTTATTTTCAAAAGGCGCAAGCTCCTGCTAGGTAGTCTGTTCCTCTGCAGTTGCGTGTCTTCCTCTTGCTGGCATTACACTTCTTGTACAACTAAAATTTTTTTTTAAGTTTAATATTATCACGGTTTTCCTCCAGTTTTGTTTTTCATTCTTTGGTGATACTAATCTGTTTTTCAGAAGCTGCTATCCTCACTTTCCTATTTTTTTTTTCTCTTTTATTTCCTCTTTCCTCTGCAAGTTGCTCCCGCTGTTCCTTCTAGCACTGAAGCTGGTCACTCTGGCTCTGACACTGCTCCTACTTTACATTCCTGTTTCTTAGTCAATGAAGGTATTCTTTCCTCACTTTTCTATCTATTTGTCTTTTACTTTCAACTAATGTCTCTTATCATTGTTACGACATGACTTTAATTTGATCTCTGTATGAATTTTCCTTTGCAAAAAGGAGAGGCGGGGAGGGGGGTTTGTGTATTTGCCATTGACGCTGGCAGAGGGTGAGCAGACCCAGTGTGTGTGTCTCAGGCTGTCTGTTCTCAGCTCGTGTATATAAAAAATGATATTTTGGATGCGAGTGCGAGTGCCGCTCCTGGGTACGAAGGGTCAGCCCCATCTAGAGCCCTCAAAGACCTGCTGGGATGGGCATGGGATGGGTCTTCCCCTCCTGGGGTGCGCCAATGCTGCTTTTAAAATGAAACAAACAAAATCAATTTAATGTAATTTAAATTTTATTTTTGGCATTTATGAAAACATAGTGTTTATTTCAACTGCTTGGGTTTTGTGTTGGGGAAGATTTTTTTTTTCTAATAAATATTTATCAACATTTATGAAAGATGTCTTTTTTGCCAAAAAGGTTGGCACAAAAAAAAAAAAAACCCCAAACAGACAAAAAAACCTCTTCTATCCCTCTAAGCATGTTGCTTTAAATCAGATTTTTTATGCCCTTAGTAATATGCTGTAAAATTCTGCTTTCGTGCATCTCAAGTAGCAGAAACAGCACTCTCTTACATTGGAAATTCTTCTTTTTAATCCATTTTTCTTTAAAGAAAATTGGCATAATGATTTCTTGTAGCACCATGAAGAGCTTTATTAGTTAAAATATTTAGATTTTCATGCCCAGTATTGCTGACAATACAAAAATATAGATCTATATGCTCACCTGAAGTATTTCTCCAGTATCACAAGTCAGTGTAGGGTGTAACACTAAAAAAATTCCTTTGCCTAGAGTACTTTACAAGTGTTTTTACAAGACATGTTGTTTGAGTTTGATATGCTTATCTTTGCTGGTTTAACTGCACGAACTGCAGGCTCGTAGTGCGAATGCGGCTGAGGTGTGAGCATGCTGAAATAGAATTTAGATGGAAAGATAAAGAGAGCAGACAAACGTGTGCTTGCACATATGTACGTACCTTTTAAAATGGGACGGAAAATTCAATGTGATCTTTCTAGTGGTAACTCATATGCTAGGTGTTCTGTAATTAAATTATATCGCACTTGCACGTAGGACATTAAATGTCATTGTAGGTGATGCTAATCATGGTTTGAACAGCGCATCTAAATCTTGAACTCAAAACCATGGCTTATGCTTTTGAAAAAATTGGCCATAATAGTTTTAGAGGCTTTTTTTTTGTATTTAGTATGTATGTTGAGTATATTCTTAAGGCTGCAAATTTAAAATCCAAGTGTGTGAGTAGATCCTGAAGCCTTTTTTCGGAGGCGAAGGGGAGGAAGAGGGATGCTTGTGTTCAGTCCGGCCGGATTTGAGGCAGTCTTCTGCCGATGGCTCATTTGACCTTTGTGTGTGTTTAAGAGATCCAGCCAGTTCGCAAGGCATGATTTGTGCCTGGAAGAGCTCGTTCCTGCCCAATACAGAAAGCACATGCCCCGCCGTCATCTGTAATCAGTAAAGACGGGGTGCAACCTGTGATGGGGTGAGCCCCAGGTTCCCACAGCAGAAGAAACAATTATGTTGTTCTGCTGCAAAATTTATTCCATTTTTTTTTCCCTTTTTTTCTCTCCCTCTTTCTCCCACCTTCTTCTCAAGACCTACTGCCTACCCAGTGGCCAATGTAAATTTACGTGATGGCATTTTGAACTGAAAATTGCGTGGGTGTTGATGGTGTTTATCTTCCCGTTGTGGTGTGTTTTCCCAGGGTGGAGCCAGCTCGCCGCGATGCACTGCGTGATGCTCCCCGACCTGCTGGGACTGGATAAATTCAGACCTCCTCTTCTGGAGATGCTGGCTCGCAGGTGGCAGGATCGATGCCTGGAGGTGATTTCTGTAGTGATTCTGTACTGCTAGGGTTTTTGGGCTTTGTGTTGGCTTTTACTGATCACATTTTCCCTTAATATAAAAACCCTACAATTCTTTTCTGACACGAATTCCTGCAGTTTTTATTTCAGATTCAGTAATTTGATTTTCCAGTTAACCTGTTAAAATCATGAAAAAGTGATCATGTCTAAATATAGATAGTTTTTTACCTTCTTCATGATGTACATTTTTTAAAAACAAATTATCGGCTTAAAAACTTCCATTATTCTATTAAGAATCTTACTAAGATTTAAAAAAACCTACCCAATATTTTTCAGCAGACTGCTGAGTTGCTTTATTTTTTAGAGCGTGTATACAGTAGCCAGGAGCTGGTTTGTAACCCAACTGTTTGATAAATGACCAGTGAGCCTTAACGCTACACCTCTGCTGTTGTGGCAGAAAATTTGTTGACTGTGCAGCTTTCCAAGTAGGAAAGGAGTGACCGAGCTGGGCTGTCCGCTGCAGGTCCCCAGCAGTCCTGTAACTTAATTGGAAATAAGTTTTTTGCTGCCTGATTGCCTGTTCCTTTGCTAGGTGGGATGTAATACGAGGTGGTTCCTTGAGACAGTGATTACTTTGAAACTCAGGACAGTTTGTAAGCAACAGAAGTCCAGTTACTGGGTATCCTGAGGTGTCAGGGTAGTGTTTGTCCACAATTTTTTGTTTTACCGTAATCGAATCGCTTAACTTCCTTGTGCGTTAAATCTTTTGGACGAAAAATGGTGTGTGTATTTATGTGTGTTTATGAACTTTCAGGTGGAACAAGTGATATTAATGGGGGACAAATAGTACAAGACAGTGTTTTGTTGGTGTAAAAGCACACTTTTTTTTAAACTTTGGGAATCCATTTTTATACATTCTCCTTTGCTTTCGTTGTTCAGTCTTCCATAATATGTAGTAAACAGGGAAACCTCATGTGAAAAAATGTTTTTAGGTGGTGGTGGTTGTTGTTGTTTTGCTTTTATATTGCAAAACATCTTCCTAAAGCTTAGTTGAGTTTTCTGTAGAGGTTTTTTCTTCTGTTCTTGCTGTACTATACTGAAAGCATACTGATAAATATTTGGGTATTTGGGTTTTTCTGACATTCCTGTTGGCTCTACAGGTGAGAGAAGCTGCCCAGGCCTTACTGCTGGCAGAGCTGAGAAGAATCGAGCAGGCAGGTCGGAAAGAAACCATTGATGCCTGGGCTCCTTATTTACCCCAGTACATGGACAGCGTTATATCACGTAAGTAATTCTGTGTTATGCTTAAAAATAATTTGATTACTAGATAAAAAAAGCATTTTGTACGCAAAATTACAATCAGTGCCACGATCTAGGGGGAAAAAATAGTCTCTGGTTATATAGAAAAGTTTCTTGTAATTTTCAAAGTAATTTCACAGTCATGATATCGCTGAAGGTCACTGATGCTGATGAGGTAGATCAAACGCTGCAGCACATCTCCTTGGGACCAGAGTCTGTTTTGCAAAGGCTGTGCCTGCTGCTGGTGGTTTGGAGCTTTCAGGGAAGAAACCTGCCATGGAAAGGGCTGATAAAATTGCAAGGTATTAGACACGATGATATTTCTTCTCCTTCCTCTCTGGCAGGAGTGAAAAAGGAAAAAAAAAATAGAAATTTTGGTGCAGAAAGAATTCATTCCAGAGCAAGGAGGTTGTCTGGGGTGGGGCAAGCTGATGGATTTGCAGCAGAAATGTGGTTTTATTTTTTATAATGTGGTAAAACACTGACATACCTTTTCAAAGAATGTATAATAGATTCCAGGGGTTGTTATAAAGGGATCCTTTGGCATCCTCAGAGTATACAAGGGCTCTGCAAGGAGCTAAGGCGGGGCTGTGCAGCGTGTGTCCGTCAGTGTCTGTTGAACGATTGATGTGACTCCTGCCCAGTTCAGGGTTCAAAGCCCGTGGTTACCAAGTGCTGCAAGGAGATACTGGGTAAAGAGTATTCTCCAGATAAATTAAATAGCTCCTGACCACTATTTAATCTGTTGTATTTGTCTCCAAAAGACCTGTTTTCATTTTGTTCATTGTTATTAAAGCAGTGGTTGTACAGACTTTATATTCTTGGGAGATCTGTCAGCATTATGAGATAACTCCAGTTATCTTGCCTTATCAAACATTGTCCAAACGCATCTGCCTTACATAACAAACCAGTAAAAATGTATATTTTCCTGAATGGACGTGTTTGCTTTTAAGTTGTGGGTGTTCATCTTTCATAAAATTAGATTCTTTTTCCACTGAAGGATGTGGTTTCTGCCCTGAGAAAGATCTCTCTTAAATACCCATTGATTTTTGAGAGATGTGTAATAATCTTATTAAACCTAAACTGAATGCAGAAATTACATGGAACGGGGTTTTTTAAAGTGCTGTTGAGATTGGGTGGTAAGGCTAAGCAGTTGTTAGTTACAGCCTCTAGCCAGGCAGCGTTTGCCTCGTTACGGGGTGTTGTTGCACAGTTAGATGTGCAGCCGAGCAGTGAATAACAACGGAAAGTGCACTGGATATCCGTGTCGAGCAGCCTTGATTCATACTGAGAGCTGCTTGTGCCATTCTCCGTGTTAGGATGTATTTTTTAATTGATCATCTCCTGAGGTCAGTTACGCTCAGTTTGTGGAATACAGCTCTGGTTGCCCTTTACTCTCAGGAGTAGCTGCCACATCGACTGTTGGTGATTACTAATTTCTTTTCTCTGGAGTGATAATGAATGACCTTGGTGGGCACAAGGTTACGGGCATCATTGCGTAGGTGAGGTGTGTCTAAAGCACTCTGCAGTGCCCGCTTCAGCTGGTTGACTGTTTCCAAAAAATGAACTTCTTTTACTGTGCTTGAAAACAACCAGTATTTCGTATTCGTGACAATAATTTCCTATTTCTGGTACTCCTCATTACTCTAACAATTACCTTTGGAAGTAAGAAAATTATCTTTTAAGTAAGAAAAGTAAGAAATTTTAAGTAAGAAAGAAATTACCCTTTTAGAGAAGAGTATGCCATTCTGTTTTACATGTGCATCAGTTGGAAGAAAAATGTTTTATTCTGCCTCCTACACCTATGTTTGTGCTCAGGTTAGAAGCATGGCGTGCATTTTTATAGCAATGGTCAGGGAATGCCTGGTTTAAGAAAAAAACTTGAGTAAGTTGTACGCATCCAGTTCCAATATTTATACAGCGGTATTTTGGCCTCTGTTATTCGTTAGCAAATCAAAGCATCTGATTTGTTTTGACACTAAACTAGGATGTGCTTACCTATCAGAACAAGTTTTAAAACACAGGAAGAAAATATAAAATAGAGAAATCATCTGAGTATGGCTGAAGTATGACTTGAATGTAAATGTTCAATAATGTGAAAGCGCTGAGATTGAAAACCTTTCCAAACGGGTCATGACTAGCAAATTGGAATTAATTTTTTTTATGTTAACATGTGAATTAAGGTTACGGAGTTTATGGTTCTGATGAATGACAGGGCTGAGAAGGCATGTAATAGTGTTATTGTCTGTATGGACGTACACAAAGATGCTGATGCTCTGGAGAGAAGAATAATTGGGATATCATAAAGGAGAAACAAAATAAGGAACTACAGACGTTTCTGTTGTGGGTAAAGTGTATAGATTAGTTATACTGTAAGACATAATTTTAAAAATGACGTGTTTTTAAGGGTCTGGGGAGGAATTGAAGGGGATAAGAATTACTTAGGATGGCCAAAATGGATGCCATGGACTGCTGAAAAGTGTAGTTTTGTGCTAGAAAGGTAAGGAGGAGGAGTAGGAGACATAAAGAAATATTGCTTTGATTCCTTCATCTTCCACTTCTCCCAATTTTCTCTCTTGATACAGGGACATAAATTATTATCGGCATGTTTTTGTCCTGCATGTTATTACTCTGCAATAGTTCCTATGTGCGTGATGTAGAAACGGTGCTTCTCTTACACATTAACAGGTTTGTTTTAATTAAAGCAAGTGTTGATCACTGACAGAAGCTTGCTGCCTATATAAAATACTTTGTGTGTTTAATTGGCTCTTGAATGAGCGTGCAGTACGAGCAGAGATGAAATCTCTCTCTGGGTTGTATATTCAGCACGCAGATCTAGGAGAAATTCTGGGACGCGACCTTGCTCGTGCAGATGGAGCAGCTGGCGTGGCTCCCAACGTTGAGATAAAACGAAGGACAGGGAAACCTGCACAGGGTTATCTCTTAATAATCTTTTAACTGATGCAGGAGAGGTTATTGTCCCCAAGCCCATCTTATTTCCTCCTTTGCGGGTCTGCCAGCACCGGACCCGCTGCACCCTCGCTGCGCCGAGCAGCTCGCTTACAGCTGCCTGCACGGCTTCTGCATCTCACAAATTGCAGTTCAGGTGTTCGGACACGTTAGGCTTAGTAAGAGGGAACAATAAATCTTTGTTTTATTTGGGCTTTCAAACCCAGGGTGGGCACGTCAGCTGCTGACCCCCCGTCACATGGGGATGGATGAGTGGGTGATGCTGTGAATTAAGCCCAGGAGAGGTGGTGCGGGTGGTGGTGCTTTTCAGGGAGGAAAACAGTTAAGCTTTCAAAGCTTCATCTTGCATCTGCTAAGATTATGTCATGCGACTGTAAATATTTGCAGTGGCCTTTCTGCTCCTCATTTTCCCAGTGTACGGTTGTTTCTGAAATGCTGCTGCCTTTTTATTTGTAAGAGCAAGGACGATCTTCAGTGTAAAAACAGATTCTGCAAATTAAATTATCTTTTTCAAAGTATTTATTTGCATATTATGTTTCTGTTTTGTTCCTTTTATTTGTTTTTACCTTGGTCAGTATAAACTTTTTCTTAACGTGCCGAAGGCAGCCCCTGCAAGCTGGTGGCGGTGGGTCCATCCACCAAGCCCTGGAGGGATGGGTGGATTTGTAAATATATCAATTCCTAGATACGCGATGTTACTGCGGATGGAAGAATGGCCACCATGGCTTTAACAGAAAGCAAAAGGCTGTCTTAGCCCGGCCTTTGTGTGCGCGTGGGATGCGGCTGGAGCCGGCAGGCAGAGCGCGGGGCACTGGGAGCTGCCGGGATCGATCGGAGCGGAGCGCGATGAATTAATGCGGGGCAGGCGGGCTGCCGGTCGCGGGCTCTGCAGAACTCCCTTTGCAGTGTCTTCTGCCCAGAAATCAGCACATGCACTGCTCTTGCTTTCCATGTTGCTAAAACACCATTCATGTAAAGGTTTGTGTCAAATTGTTGATTCTTTTTAAATTAAAATCTTAAATGTGGCAGCACAAAATTGGAGACATGTAAATAGATATCCTTAAGCTGTGTCTCTCTTTGAATAATCTGTGTTATCACTGGAAAGCTAAATAAATACAAAGTCTACAATATGGAATATGCTGTTGTCACGATGCATTTCTGGTAAGCTTATTTTTCTTCCAAAGTTTTATTTAAAGCCAGATTAATTGAGTAAAACTTAGTTAAACGTCCATCAATTCAGACAGGAGTTTTAATTGAGTGAGGGTAGTTTGACTGGACCCCGAAGACTTTGTGATTTATGTAAGTGGCTGATCATCTTCCTCATGCAAGGTTTGGCTTAAAAGAGCACCAAGAAGTAAGGCAAAGAATTTTGTGCTGCAACATTTTAGCATATTAAATGAATAATGAGTTTAGGATGCTGCAGTAAACAGTAGATTGTAATAATGGCGTAACTTCCTAGTACAAGTGTATCTTACTTAACTTTCCAATATTTTCCCTTGGGAAGGGTGTAGCACATCTAATATGGAAAATCAGCTTCTTTTCAGCAACTCAGGGCTAGAAAGCAGGGAACGAGGTGAGTCAATAACAAAATAAATCAAAGGCTGTGACTTTTGTCCTAGCCTAAACCTACCATTTAGGGACTGCTGGACCCTTGGCTTCCACCAGCTTGGGTATTCAGCTACAGAAAATACTCCTCTGAGATGAAAGCTCATCGATCAGAGCCTTTGTACTACTGTTTTCAAAAGGCATGCAAGCCCTGCACTCTGGGAGCGGAAAGCAATAAAATAATTTTAAACTATGGAAGTGATATTTAGGGAACGGCTAGCTGCTTGCTGTGCCTGCGGAGATGAACAGCTTCTTGGACTAGCTGTCGTGGAAAAATGTAAAATAGGGTGCAAAAATAAATAAGTAATATAAGGAT